ACACCATCTTTCAGATCCTCCCTGAAGAGAAGAGCCCATAGGTGTTTTTTCTGAATTACCTCACCAAATTTTAGCTGTCACAACTAAAAGATGCCAGGTCCATGCCCTAGCTCCAAGGGCAGTCAGCACGGAGCAACCTGTGTCTGCACTCCTGCTCTCCAAGACTCCCAAAGAGAGTGGCCACATCCAAACTGTGCCATGGAGAAAGCTCCTGGCCCAGGCTGACTCCCAAACTGTGCCCAGGAATTGTCTGGGACAATGCTACTTGGCTCAGGTCAAAGCATGACCACACAAACGTTTTAACATAGGTGATCCTATTCCAGTAGGAAGGAATCTTCTTGGTCACAGTCTAATTTACTGCTATAGACACAACTAAATGCTGGGTCAACCTTCTTTTTATGATTGAAACAGAGCAGACTTCCAGAGCATGATTTCCTGTACCCCAAGGTGCATTTACCTGTATTTAGGTGTCTTGTCCCAACACAAATTAATTGTATCTGAACACAGACAAAATTAAATGGGAGCAATTTAACCTCATGTGAACGCAGGATATATTCCAAACACATCTACATTTTATTGCAATCTACTGTATTTTGCACAGGGCCCATGGCATTTCTGTGAGCTTTGGACAGACTTCGCACTAACAGAAGCATACTAATGAGCAGTACAGGAAAAATCACATCCACGATGAACTTCCTAGAACAATAATACGTATCTGTAGTTTTTAAATACCTAACGTATTTCATAGGACAATACACCTTAAAGAACCACAAGCTTCTACCAATCCCTTTCTGTAGGGAGGATAATTTAGTTTTAACATTTTGCTGGCATCTAGCCTGTTTTCAAGGTACTGTATACTTCTAGGGAAGTTATTTTCCCTCCACTGTTTATTCAAACTTGCAATGTACTATGAAAGCATTATGGCAGCTACTGCAACTGAATTACTGCCGTATAACATCTGAGTGTTGGAAACATATCCCTAAACTAGCAGTCAGAGTGACAGATGGATGGTGTTTCTCTTAATCCTAGGGGAACAAAAGTGAAACAGAGCATTCACAGTGTGATGCTCTATGCATTCCTTTGTATGTCAGTTCAGGTTTCTGATGGGAAGACTTCTTCCTGGTGGGGGAGGTATTGGAACTATAAAACAAATGATAAAAAATGGATATTTACAGAATGAGAGAGAAGCCAGCTTTGCAATGACATTGACTGAAGCTTTAAAATAGCTATACTTGATTTTAATAACACAGCATGGAGAATTTGATAGTGGCTCTCATACAAAAATTTAGCAGAACTGGAGTTACCATTCACAAAATCAGAGCAAAACCTGCAGCTAGTTTTACTATGGACAGGTCACCTGAGAGGTTCGGAGTAGCAAAATAAGGACACAAACACCCAAAACTGCGTCTCTACCCAAACTGCAAAATAAGGAAAAATGCAAAGATTTCAAATGAGCATGCACCTTCTTCCCACACCAATTCAGCCATATCCCACAGGAATCCTAACTCTCCCCTCTAAATGATGTTAAGAGACAGAGGAAAGCAAATTGCAATCCACTTGCAAGGTTTTCTCTCTTGTGAATACAACAGGCAACAGAAGGGAAATTGAATTCCCGAGCACCACCAGCTCTGCTTATGCCAGAGCCTACCCTGTACAATAAAAAAGGGGTGGTAGGTAGATCACCGTTACATGCGTTATACTATAAAGACTGTCAACTGTTATGAAGAAAACTTCTCTGATCTGGATAGCTCTCCTTCACATGCCCAGTTCAATTGTATATCTGACCAAGAATAGTTTATTCTATCTACACCTGTTCTTACTCCGAGGAGCAGTGTTTCACTGGTGTTTTACTGCTATCTTAGGAGGGCAAAGTACTAACTGTTATGAAGTGAGACGGAGGTGCTATTCTAGTTTTTATTTTGTTTTGATCTTGCCAATACAGTTGGCTGGTTTGCTACTATTTATTCCTATTATTGAAGTTTTTGTAAGTCATCTAATCACAATGTTTGGATAACATACTCTTGTATTATGACAAAGTAATGTGAATTTTGTTCTTAATTTCTGCCCTGTATTTTAAGAGTACTCCACTTTCCACATTGCTATTACTACATTTTAGATATAGTCCCTTTGCTTCAAATCAAAGCCACAGGATACACCAATAAGTTCTATATGCAATCCTAGAAGAATGTCCTTTCTTAATATGACAGCGTTAGTGGGTGTTTTCTAGTCAAAAGTGTAGAATTGTTTGTTCTCCTTTAGTAATGTTTGAAAGTGGCTTGGAGCTTTGCTTACTCCTGCGTGGTACGAATACGGAATAGACCTCACAGAACAGCAAGCGATCTCATGAAGTCTTAGCTCTAATTTTTTAAAATGTTTTCAAAGAAATGAGTATAAACAATATTTGCTTTTTGTATCATAACTGAAACCATACTGCTAAACAATCATATCCTGTTTAGCCCATAATGACATCAGAAATATATGTTTATCATCTGCTCTGGACAACTTAGCATGATTTTGGCCCAAGGCAAAGTGGAACTGAAATTATTTACAGTTGTCCAAACCAAGATAACCACACATTTCTGAGGTAATTGATACCTAAAAGGAACACTGCCTTTAGATCACAGCTCATGATTTAAGTATACTAATTCCTTAAAGAACACTGTTAGAATTTTTAAAGTGTCTATTGGATTTCCTCCAAAACTTAGCATGGATTAAACAATCTACTGCACAAAGAAAATGTAATACATCAGATTAGCCCATCCACTAACAACTCTTCCTTTAGGAATGGATCACATTTCCTACTACCTTTGATTCCTTTCCACCCACCTCAAAGTGACAACAAAATCCCAAACAAAACATAGCCAAAAATATGTTAAACATTTTGAATAACATGACTTAAGCAATCTTTCACATTTTGTCATTAGTTTTAAAAACTAATAAGAAAGGAAATACATAGTACTGACTTCATACTTGTATATAATTCAAGGATCTACTCTAAAATAAGTAGATCTTGATTTTTCTTTTTTTTTTTTTGTAACACGGAAACAGATCAAGAGTTCACAAAATCTTATAAAGTAGAGCAATAGAGAGAATAATTACTTTTATACATATATATATACACACACATACTACAGTTCATGAATTATAGTCTAGTGAGAAAAAACAAAGCATGTAGTCAGATGAAAGATAAATATTTGATTACAGGAACACATTCCTTGACGGACAAACATAGAGTCAGATTTGTCCTTGTCTAAGACGGGGAACTTCATACTTCTAGCAACTTGTGTAGTTTTTTAGACAAAATATTATACTGGAATGACAAAAGAGAATGTAAAGTCAAGCACATAACCCATTCATTCAGAACAGTGCTGTTATTTATTTTTGTGCATACAAGCTCAAAGGATTTCCCTGCCTTTATGCAAAACATAACATTTTGCATAAATAAGAAAGCAATGAAAAGGAAAGAAACTATCAGTTTCCAAAACACAAACAGTGGTTGGGAACAACTGTTCTACAACACTGATCCTCAGCTGGGGAGAAATGGGACTTGTTACTAGCCAAATTCTTAGAAAGAAGGGATTCCTGATAAGATTTTGAGTAATTGTAATGGGGAGAAGGAAGGAGAAACAAGACTGGGGAAGTCGCAGTTCTGAAAAGGGGCTCCATTAAGAAGAAAAAATGAGACTTACAACTAGGGCAGGATAAAAATCAGGTTATTTCTTAGAATTTTCCATGAAATCCTGAAAGTGAAATGAGGCCCTAATAGTCAAGTATTAAATACACAAATATTACTCAACGCATCAGCCACCTCAGCATAGAAAAGAAAATCAAACCAAAGTAACCAGCTTCTACCACTGAAAGGATATAAAAAGCACTCTAAAAATAGCAAGTTTCCAACAGCCGCATATACTATACTACTGAGTAAAAAGGATGGAAATTGGCCCAAACGCTAGTGTGGAATTCTGAGCGTGCTCCTGGCAGTTTTGCCCTTGACATCCAGTTGCCCACACAAGCCATGAGGAGGAACTGGGCACAAACAGAGGCCACAGACTGTTCTCCAGATTCACTACAGACAGGGCTACCAAAAAGACAGGGCAGCCCTGACCACCTACAGCAAATTTAGCCATAGTGGCCCAAGCTGGGCCATGTCACCTGCCTTCAGGGCCAGAGAACTGGCCCTGGCCTAGTTTATTAATTAGTATGGATACAGCCTTTAGATCTTATAAATACTTCAGTGTAAATGACATTCAAGAAGATGGTCTGCTGACAGACAGGACATAGGGCTGATAAGATCTATAAGGTGTACTTGCTATGATACAGTATTTTGTGCCAGTATAGCTAAACCTCAGTGACACAAAGTAAAACTGGTATCAAAATCAACTGGTATAAAAAACATCATTCCCCAGACTTCCATGCTAACACAGCTATACTGCTTCTTGCTCCCACCCAGCTTTTTGAGAGTGATATGGTACTGCATTCTGTAATGTAGACATAATTTTTCATAAATGCATAGATCAGAAAATAGGACTTGAAAGCAGGATGGAGAGAAGAGCACATACTAAAACATGTTTGCACAGAATATTTTAATTTTATCTGTAAGCTGTGTTATATGAAAAGAGTCCCTAAACGCTATTGAAACAATTTTCTCATGAGAGGAATAATGAAAATGAAAAAAATAATTGTGAAAAATGCAGGTGAAATGTTTATAAATATAATCTGCTTTCTACAGGAAGGAAATACAAATACATGGCAGACAGCAAGATCCATAACTACCCTTTCATAACCTTCTTTCTCAGCGTGCTTGCTTAGACATCAGGAAACATTTGAGGGAATAGGAAAAATAGGGAAATAGGATTCCTTTAGACCATCTGGGCAAAAGGGAAGAACATGTAACAACAATATAATATGCAGCATGAAAAAGGCATCAGACCAGCATGATGTATGAAATATTTCACTGTTTTCTCTGCTGGAGCTGGGTAACAGTAAAAGAAATTAATTACCTCCATTCGCTCTTGCTTGACATCATCAATCTCATCATCTTCAAACATGGCTAAGAGCTCTCCCGTCTGGTCAATGGAGTTGAGAAAGTCTTGAGCAAGCTTCTGCCGCTTGTTGGTATTATTACTGTTGAATTTGTCTTCACAAAGGTAAGCAAAGAACAAACTTAAGTTATCTGGTTCCTCCAAACATCAACCAACGTCCCTAGGAGGGATGTGTTTTAGAATCAGATGCACTGTGCAGAAAAGGCCGGATCTTACTGTCCTTCTCATACAAGTTGTGCTACCTGACCAAAGCGAAGTCACTGCTGTGCTGCAGTAGCACTGTAGTGAAAAATCACCTTTAGTGTTTTCTACTATAACCTAGTGTTTTTTCATAATCTAGAGACACCTAGCCTACTGCTCATACATCATTATTTCTCACTGAAGGATCCACAGTGGAGAGAGCTGTAGGAGAAACCACCCTTTGTACAACCAATGTACAAAAACCTCACTTGTACAACAGAATATATAGAGGAAATGCTCTTTCCTGAAAGCATGCAGAACATCCTCATTGCCTACAGCCTAAAGCAAACTATAACACAAACACTAAGGTGCAGCTCCACAGGTGATGGACCACGGTTCTACAGTAAAACCTAGAGAACCCTCGCAAGGTGATCTCTGCTGTTCTAAACAGAACAGCAGCTATAAAGACATTAGCTTCACAAAACAAAATTAATGGCTTCAATCACCAAAGCCTGCCAGAAAATGCAATCTTTAATTCCCAGCTGAACTGTGTTTAGGAAACATTTCATGAGCATCTAAATGGCTTATGAAAATTGTTTATTTGTTTTAAATAGTGACACAGACTTAAGTATGAAAAAACCCAAAGCTGTCAGGTAGGAAGCCATACTGCCAGACAGTTTGCATGAATCAATATACTTTCACGTGTGGTGAAAATAAAATGCCACAGGCAAATTAAATCTCAAATGAGTTGACAAAAACTAATCCACAGATTGACTAAGTCAAAGCAAGAAGTACAATGTTTACCTAACACGAATGTGGATGCTCAGAGGAACCAAACACAAGGAATTCATTGTAAGGGAAAAAAAAAAAAAAAAATAAAAGGCTCTGAGAAAGGAAATAAGTTAAATACAAAAAGTTGTGTATGGACATTGCTAGATGCTATAGAAGTATGGCAAGCTTTAGATTTGCTATGATAAGTTTTAACTTAACTTTTTACAAAGGAAATGCTAATTCTTCTATTAGTATAAATCAACAAAACTTTATACCAGCAAATTATATTGCATAAATTAATGTATTTTTAATTCAAAGAGCTTTTCCTTTAAATGCATTGGTTATAAAATCTGTGACTTAGAATCATAGAATCGTTTAGGTTGGAAAAGATCTTTAAGATCACTGAGTCCAACCGTTAAGCTAGCACTGCCAAGCCCACCACTAAACCATGTCCTTAAGCACCACATCTACACATCTTTTAAATACCTCCAGGGACGGGGACTCAACCACTTCCCTGGGCACCCTGTTCCAGTGCTTGACAACCCTTTCCTTGCTCATAGATCGGGGAAGCAAAAGTGTTTCCCATTCTTTAAATTACAGATTCAAAGTATAAAATGTTAAACCACACTGAAAACAAGCCCAGGTCATATATTAGTATTCAATGACTTCAGATTACAGATTTTTTTGTAAAACACGTCAAAACCCTTTGATAGTAATTTAACAAATGTCCATTCAATTGCACGCGGTAGCTGCTGCATTTAAATTACACATGCTGAAATCAATTAGCCTTTTAATCAGCACCAGTTTCTTACTTCAACAGAGTTCTGACGTTAAGCAGTCTTACTTATCATTCAGATGGTAGATGCAAATACTTACTTTTGAAGTGTTTAAAACAGAAAAGCAGACAGTTTTAACCAAATTACTCTGGAGACATTACTTTTGTGTCTTTAACTGTTAAGCAAGCCTAAAAAAAAAGCCATTAATGCTTTGCATTGAGCTGTTCAGCACATTTATAAAATATCAAGCCTCCCCCAAATTAAGTAATTTTTTTTTCCTACCTTCAAGGAGGTCATCTTCTTCTATTCCTTTGACAATTTTAGATTTGTAGTCTCGAAAAAACATGTATTTAAGTAGCCTTCTAAGCTTCTTCTAACAGAAAAAAAACCATTTATATTAATTAATATTATATAGAGTTATTTTTTATTTACACTAACTTTGTAACACACAAACATGCAAAAGTGTAATACATTACTCAGTAAATATAATTTTTTAAATGTTTGTAATTTTTGATTCTGCAGAAAATCCCGACATAGAAAGTACATCAAGGTCAGTAGCAATTCCACATTAAATAGTATTTATTTCAGCTCCTTGGTACTTTGCTTGCCAACTGTGAGACAAAAATGGGTTTGACTTTCAGAAAGCAGAAATTCAGCGATCAGGCTTCTTTAGGGCACTCCAAAATCTTTGCTTAGTTTGGAAATTCAAACCCACAAATGTATATTTTCATGAACTTTGACATCCATATTGACCACTGTTTTCAGTATAGCCTTATGCATTATATCAGATAAAGCAGCCGTAATTGGTTTTCATGTTTTATTGTTTTTTAATTTTGGTAAGGTTTTCGTCATTAGGTTTCACCTATCAAACAAGGAAAGAAAAACAAAGGGGAGAGAAAAGGGGGCAGAAAAGGGGGGAACTAAGGAAGAAAAGGAGATAAAGGAAGAATAAATAACTTCGATAAAAACAGTTGATAGAATTTTTTCATGATTTTGTAATTTGAAGAAAGCAAATTAACTTAATCTTTGTATGGAAATTTGTTTTTTTTTTAAATTATTGACCTGCTCTACTTATTTTCCAGAGAAAGCAAGACTATCCCGAATTTTGGAGATTTTAGTGAGATAAAGTGCAGGAAAAATATTATAAAGGAAAAATCAAGACAGGATTTACTGACAGACTAGATGACAAAAATATAATGGTGGCACTGTCAAATGTCACATCTACTCCCTGCATAACTAGGAGGAAATTAGTATGACAGATTTTTAATAAGAGAGATATAAAGGATAAGGATCAATATTTATACCTTTATTAAGAAATTTTTTTTGAGCTCTAAGGTACAGCACCCATGCTAAAGCTAGTGAAAAAATCAATTCATAATTGAAGTTACTGGAAAAAATAAGAATGAAATAAAAAGTTATGCAATTATTGTACTGTGCACAACACAGTACAATTGCAGAGCAGCTATACTTTTATATAAAGCTATTCATGATGACGGACTCCTTTCACATAGGTTAAGCAAACACTCTAAAACACGATAAGCAGCTTACTATGTAAAGCAAGAAAATTCTGTTTTATTACTGTACCTTATCTTTGCGCATTAAGAACAGGAGATCTTCAGCAGAGATGACTCGAGCTCCTCTCAGCTGAGAAACCTCAGCTGCTTGCTGCAACTAAAATAAATTAATAACTTAGGATGGCTGTTTCTGTGTTAAAAAAATTTATTCACTAGGGTTTGTTTTAAATAAGTTCAGATAATATTTTGCATGGTAGTGCATAGCAAAATACAAGCTGGGACTCTCAAAGGTGTCACTCACTCGGCTCTTGTTAGCTAGGAAGTGAATAACAATTTTACAAAAAGACTGAAAGACTTTTGACAAATCTCAAGCAAAACCTTTTTTTGTTTATATTTAAAATGATTGCTTTTAAAAAGCGCTACATCTTTTTTTTTCTTTCCTTGCACCACGTTAGCCCAGAAAATGAACACATAATTCTCTCAGGCAATGTAAAAATGCCAGATTCTTGCCATAGCACTTTATCTGCAACTGTGGAAGGGTGGCTGATCCCTCTCAAAATTTTTTAGAATAACAAATATTAATTTTAAACAGCTTACCTAAGTATTTTTTGAAAGAAACTCTACCCCTACTTGACTTATCATTAGTACAAACCAGACTCGCATGAAGACTTTTTTAGGCATATTCTTATTTAATTTGAGAGAAAGAAAATTAATTGATAGGAAACACCAACTCTTAATAAAGTAATTGGAAAAACCTTATTGAGCAGACCAGGCCATTCAGGTATGAGAGATAAAGGTGGGATCGAGCAATGAATGCCACAAAAAATTATAAGAGGTGGCCAAAGGAGTGTGAAGCCAAGAACTGTGCTCACCTCCAGCTGACAGTGCCTCTAAAGGCCCCAGATTGTGCCGTAAAGAGCAAACATCTCTTCGTAAGGGACTCAGCATGTCAGCCTTGGGTTCACCGTCAGTAGGTGCAGAAAATTGGGCTAGTTTATACACAAATCATAGAATACAATCACAGAATCACTGAATGCTTTGGGTTGGAAGGGAGCAGGGACAGCTTCAACCAGCCCAGGGTGCTCAGAGCCCCGGCCGGTGTGGTGGCCGGGGGGGGCCCCCCCCCCGCCTCTCTGGGCAACCTGTGCCAGTGCTTCACCACCCTCACTGTAAAAAATTTCTTCCTTATATCCAGTCTAGATCTATCCTCCTTTAGCTTAAAACCATTACTCCTTGTCCTGTCACAACAGGCCTTGCTAAAAGATTCTCCCCATCCTTCCTGTGGGCCCCCTTTAAGTACTGGAAGGCCGCAATAAGGTCTCCTCGCAGCCTTCTCTTCCCCAGGCTGAACAACCCCAGCTCTCCCAGCCTGGCCTCAGAGCAGAGCTGCTCCAGCCCTCGGATCATTTTGGTGGCCTCCTCTGGACCTGCTCCAGCAGGTCCATGTCCTTCTTGTGCTGAGGGCCCCAGAGCTGGGCGCAGGGCTCCAGGATAGGTCTCACCAGAGCAGAGTAGAGGGGCAGAATCACCTCCCTCGACCTGCTGGCCATGCTGCTTTTGATGCAGCCCAGGATGGGGTTGGCTTTCTGGGCTGCAAGCGCACATTGCCGGCTCATGTCCAGCTTTCCATCCACCAGTACCCCCAAGTCCTTCTCTGCAGGGCTGCTCTAAATCCCTTCATCGCCCAAATAGATCATATGAAAACCAGTACAAGATTAGAAACCAAACTTGCGCAAGCTGATGCTTATCAAACTACCGGGCTAAGGAGGTCCAACCCAAATGCACAAGAGGAGTCTATGGGATTTGCTCCTTTCACCTCACTAGCCTTTGGTTCTGGCATAAGATGATGCTGTAGAGTAAGTGGGATAGAAAGGATGCTTCCCAGCATGGAATATACCTTATCTTCTAAATTCAAAACCATTGTCCAAAAGGCAAGATTTAATCATAATTTCTTCGCTCTTATCCTTGTTAACCATCTGATGGATGGACTGAAAGCGAGCACAGTACAAAAGTTATCAAAAGGAGAGACACCTTAAAAAATTCTTGATGTTAAAACTCATACATACCTGTAACACAATCGATAAACAGAAATTTATTTTCTAATATCTCTATATTCTTCTTTCAGAAATGCATTAATGCACCTGAAAATAATTTAAAGAAATCCTATCCTTCGTACTCACACTAGCAATGGTTTCACTCAGTATCACTGGCTGAATAAGTATATTATTAATCTGAGCTCCCATGCTGCTATGGCTTGCAATAGGCCTATTCAGAAGTTAAAAAGATCAACAAAAACAGTAGCTGTTTCTAATATCCAAAGGAGGAGAGGGGGGGGAAAAAAGATTTTCATTTTGGCAAGTGTTCAGTGGGCAAAAGATTCAGTCCATAAATCATAATACTGGACTGCATTAATTTTTTTCCACACTAATCACATGCATACAAAACGTTAACTGTATCTCGTATGCACAACACAAAACATACTGCGTGAAGAGTTTCAGATTTTCCCCTCAAAACCCTCTCTTGGCCCTTGCAGTCCCAGAGACCAGAGAGATTTCAGGAATTCAGAAGTCACAGTAATATAATCTTCCTTGAAAAATGTAAGAATGTGAAAAACGATAGTTCTATTTTTTGGCATAAGCAAAACTGTTTCTTATTCTGATTAGTTTGAGGGCACGCAAGCTACTTATATTTCTAACATAAAATATAAAGAGCTGGATAAAAATAAATTTACCAAGAACAAGCCAATATTCATCTCTGGTGTAAATCTATTGCAGTTAATGGATTTATGCCAAGGCTGACTTTGGACCCACTAAGCTTAAAAGTGTTACAAAACCTGACCTTAGCATGGTGATAACACAACACAGCTTTTCCAAATATCATATAAAACAATGGCAGCAATACCCGATGTGAAAGTATGCTCTAGTTCCCTAACACATACAGGACCATAACTATAATCTTTAAGGTCTCTTCCAACCCAAACCATTCTCCGATTCTGTAAGACATTAATTTTCTTACCATAAAATTCAGATATGCTAATTTCTGCGTGTAGCTGAAATACCTTATTTTTTCCAAATGATAAACATGTGACAATGTCATTTAAAGCAAAGATTGTGTGCAAGCTGCTTACAGGAACCTCCCAGTGAAGTAAGGGAGAGTAAGGAGAGGAGGCCAAATTCACGTCCCATTTGCATCTAAGTAAATCCTGAATAACACTGTTTACTTTAACGGAGTTATTCTGGGCTAAACACAAGATCAAAATCTGGAATAATATTCTCGGTTTCTACCAAAACAATGAAAACTTTATTCTCGTATTGCCTCGACTTTTGCATCTATTTTATTTTAAGGAATGAACACACAGCATTTAATTTCTTTGGCTTAAAGAAAGCAAAATACGAAAATAATTACTTCCTGTACAGTTATAAAATATGGATTATTTATCCAAACAGACCATAATGAGTTCTGCATTGGTACACATATTTACCTGGGAAACCAGGATATGCTCAGGTAAATATGTATCCAAGCAATTAAAAAAAAATTACGTACCACACAGCCGAGGTTGGGGGGAAGATGTATTTATAGTTTTAACACACACATAATTGACTCATTCAAACCACAACATGAGTGCTTTGCTATAATTAGTATTATAACAAACTGTCTTATTTGACTGTCCCAGAGTTGCCATTAATATGCAATAAGCCCCGATTCCTTAATTTCCGGAGCTGAAGGCCTTGTTGAGTCATTACCGTGGCCGCGTTACATGATGAAGGGGGACTTCAGGAAGCCAAAGAAACAATCCATCTCTGGGCACCCGAGCTTTTATCACTCCAGAAAAGCAATTTTCAGCTATGCAACCTTGAAGTCAGGAGGTCTTTCACCTTTCGCTGCAGTAGAAGCAAGGGGGGGCTTTACTTTGCGAGCAGCAGGTCTGCTGCCCATGACTCCAGGTGATAAGCGTGATACAAATGCCACAGTGACTTTTCATATGTGAGGTTACTGTGTGGCAACAGAGGAGAAGTGGAGATAGGGCAAGAATTTCCCACCATCTCCCTTCTCCAAGCCTCAGTGATATTCAGTGCCAGTCACAGAATTTGGGGCAGTAGCTGTTCCAACATACTCACTGTCTTTTCCTAATTTTTTTAATGATTAAAATAATTTAGTCCAGGTTACAAAATATTTTGTTTGGGATAATCTTGAAGAACTGCAAACAATCCAAATTATTTAGCTTTTTAAAGAAAAACAGGCTAAATTTCCTAATACCAGCAAACAATATTTGCAACCTCGGAGTTTGAATATATTTTTTTATTACTGCCAAATTATGAACCCCTAAAAGTGAAGTTTAAATAACGGAAGTGTTGAAATGACTTTAACTATAGGAGCGCAAATAGCTCTGTTAATAATTAGGAGTTTATGAAAAATAAGTGCATTTTACAATTTTTCACATTACAAAGAAGGCAGTATATACAGTAACTATATTTTAAAGTCTAAGAAGAAATGGCTGGGGAATAATATTTTAAAATGTAATCACTGGTTTAATGACTTTATGAAGTTAACTTTCTTGGCAGGATGAACTGAAGTATGTTAACAGTCACCTTACGGCTATTTTCTTTTTGCAACTTCTGCAAATTATAGATTTGTTGAAAGGAGTATTCATTCTCCTATGACAGAAGCACAGTTACTTAAATGGCACTGTCTGCTTTTTTTTTTTTTTCATAATTATTTTTTCTTCCTCTACCTCCAAAGTCAACAATAACTGATACTTCTACAAAACCGTCTTGAAGGACAAACAGACAAAAAGCTGGAAAACAAACATACTATGTTGTGACATAATCCTTCCAGTTAAACTGCAGGACGGAGTCGAAATGGTAATGTTTGCATGCCTTGAAACTGCTGGGAGCCAAGAATAATGCTTCAGGAGCTATGATTTTGTTTTCATTATAGAGGAAAATTAGATCATAGTTCACCTGGCCAAATTTTTTTCTGTAGCAGGAAGGTTGTTGTGTTATTAAATATGCATTAAAATGTCCTATTTTTTCATCTTTTCTAGATCAACAGAATGCAACTATAAAAATACCAAAGAATATTCTGATTTTAGATATAGTGCTGTAAATGTATTCTAAACAGAGCATCCCAATACTTTTTCAAAGGCAATTAAATAGAATAGGTAAATGCAGATTTTCACTTAAATCTTTCCATAGAATCTCTCACATGCTACAAATGCTGACACCTGAGCTTCTAATTCTAACACACAGAGGAAAAATACAGAATTTGTTTCCACAGGTCAGCATACGGACGTGCTTTATGCAGTTAGCACACCCTGGGAAGATAATTCTATTATGGAGTCCATCAGAGCACTCTAATAGGTAATGACTTAGGACAACCACACAAGGGTTAAACAGCATGACTAAATCGTCACAAGGTGTCTAAAACATAAAACTTTCATCTGCAGATTAAAAGACAATCAATTTTCTTCTTATTAGGTATCTGTTTTCAAATCTAAGTATTTTTTACTGAAGTCCACTTAATGTAACACCAGGTGATTATGTGTGACCTTGAGAAGATAAAGCTCTGCATCACATTTTGAGGCTTTAGAGAATCATAGAATCATTTAGGTTGGAAAAGACCTTTAAGATCATCGAGTCCAACCGTTAACCTAACACTGCCAAGCCCACCACTAAACCATGTCCCCAAGCACCGCATCTACACGTCTTTTAAATACCTCCAGGGATGGGGACTCAACCACTTCCCTGGGCAGCCTGTTGCAGCGCTTAACAACCCTTTCAGAAAAGACATTTTTCCTGATACCCAATCTAAATCTCCCCTGGTGCAACTTGAGGCCATTTCATCTCCTCGTATCGCTTGTACTTAGGAAAGGAGACCGACACCCACTCGCTACAACCTCCTTTCAGGTAGTTGTAGAGAGCGACAAGAGGCGCCCTTTCTTGCTTGACATACAGTGAATTTCAGTCCATAAAGATCTTGAGAATAAGAA